TTACTGTGGACTAGAAAGGGTTTGAAATAATAATGTACTGAAGATACTTTTCAACGTATAATGAAATATTTCACTACATGTATCAACAGCCACTTCAAAACCGAACAATAGTGCTTATCTAACAAGTAAGATGTATAAGCAGATAAATGAAATAAACAATTCACACTGCTACAGTTGATTCTCTATTCACTTTATAGTTGTCATACTTACTGTCTAATATTTTTGTTTGTGGTAAGCTCAAAAATGCCATTCGTCAAGTGGGAATTGTTTTTGCTTGTTTATTCCTTATTGTAGCGTGATCTTGATATCAACATCAAAGTAGAATTCGTGGGAGAACTTTCGTCGATCGACAAAATGTTTAACTATCGTATGCGCTGATTTGTCGCCCAAGATGGTTTGAATTGGATCGTAATCAAAACTCTTAAAAGATCTAATTTCAAAATCCTTGCCTTCAATGTATAACCTCATTCTGAACAGCATTTAATTGTTTTAATCCGCTAGATTTATCAGGGCATTTTCTTCGCTCTTATGAATTCGTTTCCCTGTGTGCGTGTATTATTCCGTATTACTTTGTTTTTATGGTGGATTTTTCAATAAAATAGATAAATGACTTTCGTTACGTCTCATTTCACGTAGAAAAACGAGCATTCTTTTTTGTACCATACGCGTATTTGTTGTAGCATGCAATACGACAGGTTGTGTAGTGCTCTGGACACTTAAACGTGAGATAAAATTCGTCCCTTAGTTACTATTATTATGACATAACGCGTAGCGTTATTTATGTATCTGTATGCGAATGTGATATGGCTTAAGTTATTACTGTTTCATTCAAAATTACCCAAGGCGATGCTAAGTCGGCTGCCAGCAGGCACTGTAATTTACTAAGCCTTTGATGTATCAATAATATTGGAGTTGCAAAACAGATCCAAGCCTATGGTGGCCAGTGAAAGCGAGATGAGAAAATATCAGCTACATAGTGTTCAACCAGTCCACTTATATATAATGGAGTCAGGATGTGCAGGGCAGGTTGCTCAGATGATTTTCAAATATTCAACAAGTGAAGAATCTTGTAATAGCCACAGGGAACCCGGTTTATTGAATACGACGAGTGGATTACAAACCCTAATAATGCTCATGGTTGATTGGAGTGAAAGACCGTTAAACTGAAGGCTTTTGGTCATAGGTGTTTCCTAAGGATCGCTCGTTTTTTTGGGCCAACCGGGTGAGCAGTGTCGAAGTTGGACGTGAGCTGCTTATGCTTAACCACGACAAGCGATGCTTGCTGATGCAGAAGTTGAGGACTAGGGGCGTCAAATTGAGACGCAACATCAATCCATAAAGTCACTGACTGTTAATCTGAGCCAGATTAGTCGATGTAGACTACCTGGTAAGGGTCTGAGTTATCACCGCAATCAATGGTTGGAAACTTCTGGCGATATAGCACAGATCCATTCATGATGGTACGGATCTCTCCATTCATCTTCCCCTCGATCTTGTTAGTATTTTCTCATACAAACCTTTTTACTCCGCCTTCCCGAACCTTGTTTTAGATCTAAAGCACCTGCATTTATCATTGTTAATACGTTACGTCAATTTCCGTTATTTTCATATTGTCGTGTTTGTCTAGTCTAAGAACATAGGCCAACGTAGACCTGTCCGAAACCCTATTTTGATTTACGTTTGTAGGGCATTGATTTAGGGTCTTCAACTGTTAGACAACACAGGTCGGCAGTGTTAGTAAATTTTACCTAGATGTGATATGGAGTGCAATTTGAGGGGCTTTGATGTGCAGCTGGTGAGTAGTGCGCGTTGATTATATGCAAATCACTGTATCTTCGTCTAAAATATTTGATGTTTGTATGGACTAATTATTTCTTTGTACCCGAATACAATACGTTCATTAGTGCTCATCTAGTTTTTCTTGGTCTAAATTGCGTCATTCTTGGGATTACTAGTTTGTATAATAATTCAAATACTTCTAATCACCACATTGGTGCCGCGAGCAGAATCTTGTGATGGGACAGTTGGACATACATTCAGATTTTGATGCTCTTGAGGATTACATGGACCATGACCAAGGAAGGTATTGAAGATGTTGATATTATGGCTCATTTCCTTACAATCATTGGAAAAGAAGCATACAACTTATTGGAAACGGGCATTTCCAGAAAAGCCTATTTCACTTACTTATGCAACTCTCAAAGAACTACTACTAGACCATGTAAAGTATACAAATTTCGTAAAATGATTCGTCGGAACATCAGCAATTCTATTTCGTCGTCCCAGTCCCATGCGTAATCAAGGTTATTCGGAAAATTCATTGAGAAGTTGCGAAGTAGGTCACGAAGATGAGCGCAAGTTAAGTAAATGCTTGTTCTATAGCAAGTTTCACTTATTTAATTTCGTAATTCTAAATGCTTCAGATGTGATTAGATTGGATATATTCGGTCAGTTTGTAATACTAGGGTTTATTTCGCTGCAACTAATGCTGAGCTTAGCGATTCTGATCCTATTAAGTTGAATGTTTCAAATGAATCATACTATAGCCAGATTCATGATATTATTTTACCAGATATGCGATGTTCTCATGTTTCACGTATTTCTAATGAAATTATTTACATACATGTCGAGTGCCTCAAATCTCATGTTATTGTACCATATATGGTTTGTTCTGATGAAGTCTCTTACAAATCTGCGTTGAATGGATCAAATCATGATAGAAAATCCGATGCAGTTTCGATAGTTGCTGATTTTTCTAATGATCCATTAATCTCCAATGATATTCTTAATAGAGTTGAAGAAAATACTTCAGAAGAATCAAATCTTAATGTTATATCAAACATTATTTGTCCTCATAATGCATTTGTTTCTTGTGAGAAAGTTGTTCAATGCGAAGCACGAGTCCTAAAGGAGCTCGATTTTGATTACAATTCGTGTGATTTCATATCGAATGTTGTTCATACTTATCATGAAGTCACTTCTAATGAATCCTCTAATCAATGTGAGAAATATGTTTCAAAGGAAACCACATTACTCTTAACTTGGGGATATGAGGATCTAACATTATTTCGTGTGTGTTGAAAAATCTACGGTACGAATTCTAGATAACAGTTGTTTCAGTACACAACCGACATGGTGATTGTATACAATTCCAGGACCTAGATGAGCCTGTTCCAATTTCAGTCGTCAATTCTAATACTGATGAGTATATTCTAGATCATACAGTTTACGTCCAGTACACAATCGGACAGACATTTAAGCTGTGGTGGATCGGTGTTTGTATGAACTAATGATGTCCGCCTGATTTTGAATTCTGAATACAATACGTCCATTAGTACTCATCTAGTTTTTATTGGTCTAAATCGCGTCATTTCCGGGATTGCTAATTTGTGTAATAATTTAAATAATTCCAATTACCACTATATGTAATGCTCTATAACTTACCATCGACTACAGTAACAGGGATATGTGCTTTGTATGACCATAAATCGTTAGGATAGGAATAAGGTTAAGAAAAAACTAAGAGCAGTCATTAGTGAATCAAGCTATTATCTTTTATTCTGGGTTGTTGGTAGTCCGTGAGATGGTTTTAATTATGATCATTTGTTTTGAATAAGGGTAGCGCTCTCATTTTCACTTGGTCTTTAGTGGATCACAAATAGGTAGTATGAGGAAAACACCAGACCTGTTATTTTAAAACCACGTAATTACTAAATACATAGAATTTCTCTATAGTCACTGGCTAGTGCTTAGAAAATCATCCCGATTTGATTACTTTAAACAAGTTGTTATATCCGATGAAGATTAAATTACAGGTAACTTCCAAGGACTATTCATGGACTAATATTCTATAAATGTTCTTATTGTATAACTACTCAACAATTACACTATGTATATTTATATTCCTTTTATTATAAGCTTTATTTTGACCTATATTTTATTATTGTACGATTTACTGTCCCTAAATTATACTCAGTCTATTAATTACTGTCCCCCTCATTCACAGCCACTTTTTGGCTTATTTGTGTACAAATATTATTTCCTATTTTATGGTACGTTGTGGTCTGTCTGATTGATATATAAACCGGGTATGTCTGAAATAAACGATCTGATCTGATTCGATTCACATTACGGAAGTTGGTATTGTGTTCTGGACTCAAGTGGAAGGGCTTGGAGAACATAGGACCAATAAGGACGCTAAACTGCCCACACCGGTTGAACGTCATTGGTTGGCCTAGGGTGAAGATTCGTATAAGTCGTATTCGGATTGGTAGATAAATCGTGTGATAGAAAAGCCAGACGTCAAGGTCATAACACAAGTCGTCCTCAAGACATACTAACCTACATTTCATCATCGATGGTATGACAGAATCAAATAATCAGCGACAATATGTAGAAAACCGTGAAGAGGATTACGACCTAGCAAGATGTCTTCTGAGATTTTAAAGTTGATTTACAGACGACTGGTATCTCCTAGGATATTATAAAACACTATGCAGCTTTATCGTGCCGGTTCGGCATTAGTTAGCGATATACACCCGAGAGTTCATGCGAGATGGGATCCTTAACATAACAGCGAGCAGAATACTATTGGTCCAAAATTCTCGATTTTAATTGCTTTTTGTCACAATTGCATTATCAGGCACGTAGAATTGAGTCTGGAACAAAGGGGTGATAAATTATCTACATCAATAATTTAACTATTAAGTAGTTGTAATGTAGAAGAGCTTATTCGATGAATAAAGTAATGTGGGAATAATTATTTATGAGGTTGATTAGCAAGGTATGGTGATCAGTAGCGTAGTTGTTTTTGATGTTATTAAAAAATATTCATACATGTAGTGAGCTTCGATTCATCACCTTTAAAATCCCAATAAAGTCTTTAAACAAGGCCAATTACAAAGTTTTATAGAAAAAATATACAAGATATGTACAAATTTATCCCTGTATTTGTCTGAGCTTCTCAGTGTTATTGATCCAAAGGCGGTTACGTGCGATTTCTAAGGCAAGGAACTGTATTCTAGGAACTGTACAAAAAACGTTTAAATAGAAAAATATCCTACCGATGCAGGTGTTTTCTGGACAGTATCCTTTTGAGGCATCAAGTCTCAATAAAGTACCGAAGTTGAAATCTTCAACTTTCCTTTCAAACTCATTGCAAAATGATCGCCATTTCTAAAGGATCAAGAATAACTCCATTACGCGATTGTAGGGAAAACAAAGATACAAAAACGTAGTTAATTCCTAAGACTTTTGCAGTCACTGTAGTAACGATGATCGGTGTATCTGCTGCTCGACATAACGTTTAGAATACATAAATCAACAGCAGATATGTGTCAGAGCAAATCAAACGGGAAATAAGGTCGAGCTTTTGATGGAAGTCAGTGAATATATATATATATATATATATATATATATATATATATATATATATATATTACAATTTCGATAAATTCTAAGGATGGATTGACATCTTTCTTCAGTTAGAAATTAAAAGAAAAGGAACTCCTAACCCTTTCAGACTACAAAATAATCGAAAACACTAGTAGTTTTTAAGAATTATACACCTACCATACGAGTACACACTGGTATGAAGTTAATTTTTCTCACTATATTCTTTAGAAACTAAAAAGTTTAGTTAGATTATGAAAGTCGAAGGTTAAATATATCTATAGGCTGATATACAGCTTATCTCTTAGTTTTTTGAAATATGTCAAGTATCCAGAAAAACTGAAGTATACTAAACAAAATTCACTCACAAAATACTGAGCTTGGTGAGACAGTAATGTTATATGACACCGAAAACAGATGAGATGTGTTATAAACCATAAAAAATTAATCCTTCAGTTTGAATAGTGCGCCACAATTACACAAAGTATATACATGTACTACTTTGGAATTCAGTTATACTCGAATATTTGTTTGTTTCTAGAGTGATCGTAACTACAGGGATTCAACACATAGTTAACTTAGAAATTCCTTCGACAATGATCACGTTTGTGGATAACTGATATAAAGTAATAGGGGACTTACTGCTTTTGATTGCTCCGATTTCAAAGAATCTTCAGAAATAACGTCTAATTGTATATCACTAAACTCTCCCATAAATTTGTCGTATATGAAATCATCTATGGCAGTCAGTTTTAATTGTGAGGGGTCCGAGACTGAACAAAGTAAGCGAAAATAATCTTCTGCATCACGGAAACAATGTTCAGCCCATTGTATCTCGATATTCGGCTAAATTATATGAAAGTAACACATTCAGTAATTAAAGGATAAAGTTTGAAATATTTTGAGTTGATAAAGTATTCACTATACATTTTGATAATGATAATCGGAGTTATGTTTGATGAGACTATTCACATAATGGTGCTGTTGTAATGTATAAGATTAAATAAACATGTTAGTGTAGTAGCTAATGTTCAGTCAAAATTAAGCTTTCCATTAAGATTATTAAAAGCATGGCTCCAACCATACTGATTATGTTTCCTAATTAATAAATTATTTTTAAAAAATTGTTATTTTTGTCTAGAACGAATGAGCTTAGTTGATAATACTATCAAATCAGCTTGACTTTATAGCGCTAGGATTGTTGCCCTTCCTTTATTTTCTGAAAATTGTCTGTCACAGAAAGTTCTATCCTTTAGCTTTCAGCGTATATGTGATTGTAAATATTTGGTAATGCCAACCAAGAGACTAACAATGAGTTATACAATAAAATGATGAAACTAAGAAGTTGGGTTTATATCTGAACACTAAATTTTGAGTTACATGTCTAGTCAAAGTAAATGATGACAATAACTCGATAGGACGACAGAAGGTTCAATATTTGACCCATTCTACATGGAACTGGACTAAAGATCCATTCAGAGTGACACGACTGAATTAAGTTAGTGAGTATATAACAGACTTTATCATTCAAAGTTCTTTTCTTGGATTATTTGTTGTGAACGGGCAATTTTCGATAAAACTGTCCCTCATTATAAATTTCGATGGAGCAAGACGAGGGATAGGAGAATAATAATAAGGAATTGACTTGTGGATTTTTTTCACCTGTCTACAACCTAAAACAATAGTATGAATTTCTCAAAAAGTTAAAACTGAAGTCAGTTACAAATACAGAAGGCTTCTAAGAATCGCTCATGCGGAGAGAGACTAAAAGTATGAATATTCTACAGAAGAAAAATGAGAAGCTCATGAGTACAGATTTTCAGATGAAAAATTTGTCATAAGTTGCATTCTAATAATCACAAGAAGACTGATTAGAAAAGGCACACTAGAAAAATGCCACACTTCACCTTACCCCATGGATTTTTGTCTCCGGTGGTAGAGCCTTTCGAACTGCGGAGCTAATGCATTCAAAAACTTCAAACAGTCGTCCCTTGGGCACTGTGGTCACGTATACAGGTCTCCAGAACCGCCACTAATTCAGTATTTCCATGTCCTTCAAGATTAACTATCCTTTCACGGTGTAAGCAACCAGGAAGTGACAACCACCTCATACCGCTTCTAATAGTCATGTCACCCAGAGTCTCCAACCACTAGTTACGATAGTCGCGGACCACAACCAAGTAGTCTGCATTTACCAACATGGATCAGACTAGAAGTTAGTGACTTTGTGGACTGATATCACATTTTGGTTTGTCCCCCCAACTTCCAACCATCCCCACCACTAGTCTGATGGACCAGTGGACTAACCCCTGATAATTTTAAGGATGATGGTCAAGTCTTAGCAGTTAGTTTAACTATCTTAGCCAAAATCTGAGAACTCAACGTAATCCCACCTAACTGGCTTCGATCTCAGTTTATAAGAAAGGACAAAATTCATCTCATGACAATCACAGGAATCACTTCAACTAATATAGCATCAGAAATGTTTGCCTCAATAATACTTCGACGTCTAACTAGATCTCGCGAATAGCAAACGCAAGAGAACCAGGTTAGTTTCAGACACAGACGTATATTTATAGACTGAATATTTACTATTCGGCAGATTCTGGAACATAGACATTCTTCCCAACGTCCAACTTTAGTTGTATACCTTGACCTGAAGGCAGCTTTCGAATCCGTTGATCATGAGGTTCTCTGGCAGTGTCTGCCATTGAAACGCGTACCAAAGAAGTACATTAACATTGTAAGTGCTCGCCACTCAAACACTACTAGTCGCGTCATAGCTTATGGAGAACTGTCATTGAATTTGGTTACTTCGATTGATGTTTGTCAGAGCTTTCCCCTCTCTCTATTTGTATTTAACCTTTTCATAAACATGCTTTAAGAGAAAACGCTTTTATCATCTGACTTTTCAGGGACCGATGTTCAGCCAGGAGATTGACTGGTTTACAAAATGCAGTCTTCCGACCACCGTAAGCAACAATCTAAACATGTATGGGATGGGGTTTTTCCTTTCCAAATGTAAAATGTCGCTTTAGAATTGGGTTGCGTGAGCGCTCAAATTAACGATAGGGAGTGAAGTGACTGAACGCACCGACCACATCACTCATCTTGGAGGTCTTTTCAGTCTTCATGGTTCGGTGTGTGACGAAGTCTCGACACGGGTTCGGAAGGCTACTTCTGCTTTGATCGACTTGCATCACTTGTGATGTAGGCGATATATCCGTCTACGGAACAAAGGACGAGTTTACTGTGTATTTCACTGTTCTAATTCATAGATGTGAAACATGGACATTAAGAGTAGAGGATATTTGTAGGCTACTGGTTTTCGATCATAGAAGTCCACGAAGTATCGCTCGTGTAATTTAGGACCACGAGGTACGCAATGCCCGGGTTTGGAACAGGATACTATGTGAATATGGGAAATCGACTAATGAGGTTGTAAATCTTCGTCAACTGAGATTATTGGGATGTATTATGTATGGCCGACCACCGCATACCTTGTCTGGTGGTGTTTTCTGGTGCAAGAGTAGGCTAGAAGGAAGGTAGGCATGGCCAAACAAAAACATGATGCCAATCAATGAAGTCATCGACAACTGGAATGAACCATGTTAATAGGCGTAGACTACCTGGTTAGGGTCCGCATGATTTTCGTAACCGCTGGTTAGAGACTTTGGATGATATGGCTCAAAATCGCTTGCAGTGGTGCAGGTGCATTTCCCCTTTGTCTTGCATGTGACTAGTGGCCACATTGCAACTTGGTTGGTAGAATTTGATCTCCACTAAGGAAGACCCGACACACATGACATTGGTCACTAACTAGTGATCAATCAATTGTAAGTAGGCCCTTTGTCCTCCCCCAGATTCTTAGATTCTAAATTTTTCACAATTATTCTTTTATTTCACTAATTTATATTTTCCTGAATCGTATCTTCGATGCCTAATCTTTACCATTACCATTCATACTGTTATTACCTCTAATATTCTGGGATTTGACCTGAAAATTTCTGTGCTAATGGGATATGGTGACTTGAACCGACGTAGATATGTACCAGGTTCTAGGTGGTGACTGTTTTATGTTTGCTATAAAGGCTGAGCACAACGAGCTTTTATGGGAAGTCCTTCGACTTAACTATTTATTTATCTGAACATATAAATATTGGTACAAGGGGGCACCAGATATATATGCGCCACATTTTCGACTTAACAGTATAAGACGGAGTTATCAAATGGGGGTTGTTTGGCCATTTTCATAGATATTTTTGTGTGGAACCCAGGAAGGACAAAGATGAAACCGATAACTATGGTAGGATTAACATGCAATGTATTGTGTTCAATGGTTTTCTGTATAATACGTCCGAAAAATAACCGATATCAACAGAGAAAATGGATCATTTGGGTGCACAACAAAAGCAAATGTAACAGAGTTCTGCTTAAGATACAGTTTTAGTTAAATAATGAAAATTAGACAGTCAATTTCGAGTCAAAAAGGAAGACTTGGTGAAGTTAAATGTAAAATACTGGATAATAAAGAAAACTTACATCAGTTACAGATTTTTCGGCATCAAATGAGGTCATTTTCAGTTAAAACTGCAAAGGCAATAAGTTCTGTGAATGACATTGAAAAAGGCGGAGAATACTCGAAAAAAACACAAAGAATATACAGATGAAATTTATTTGAAAAGTCGATTATGACAGGAAAGGATTCAAATATGAACCATATATGATAGAAAGGAAATTATCAAAGTGGTAGTCAACTGATTCTAGAGAACAAAATCATTAGAGTACTGGGTAATAAGTTTTTATACATTATGATTATCATATTTTAAGATGGATTGGTTAGACACTTGATATATGATGATGTTTATCTAAAAACAACCTTATTCATTTTTTTGTTCTATGTTAGTGAATCGCCAAAATTCTTATATCACCAATATTTTATTGGAGGTCGTCCTAAATTATGAGGATATCTGATATTTGGTCTAATCTCGCTAATTTCTGCTCGATGGTTTAAATATACATTCAAATATATTTCAGTAACAATAGAAAAGTAATAAGTTCAACATGAGAGCAAAGGCACACTTTATGGACAAGATTAGAACTGAAAAGAGTTTTTAGACAATTGTAAAAGACGTTTATTAATGGGTAGTCCATGGAAAAAAAACCAATAGTATTGCTAGCGTGAGCCGGTCTTAAGTAAACATTGAATCTACTGACGTTTTCCACAGGTCATTTAACTTGAAACTACGGAAAAACATCAAATTGCCCTCATGGAAAGACTGCTTATCTTTTTAAATATTTATAAGGACGCAAAAGAATCTTAAGTTCTTTATATTGGCCCTAGTTACTGCTAAAAAATTGCGAAAGAGGTCAAGGCTTTAACACGAAATGACGTCGGTTACTACTCAAAATTGCTCTGTAGCTATATGAATGAAGTAATTTTATTAGAAATGCAATGTCTGACTAGTTTAGATAAATATATGTAACGTCCCAAGCTGAGAATTTTGGGGAAAAATAAGCACATTTTGGGGAAGCCGCTATTGTAAGTTTTGGGGAAATGACACAAAAACCCTAAAATTTCCCCAGGACTCCCCTAAATTTCCCCAAAGTCAGGAGCTTGGGACGATCGACTTGAAATTTACTTTAGGATTAGAAAGTAGGGTTTTCCATTCAGGGGTACATATACTCAATTTAAAGAGACAAAAAAAGGCATGTGATGATTTAACAGTATCAATTGATAGATTAACGTTAATCAATGATAGATAAAAGTGAGTTTACGATATTTTTTAAGGATTTCTAGCAGCATACAAAGGGGCTTTTGCTGCTTGTTACACATGATACTTGAATTTCACATTCGCGATTTTGACTGGCTCGTCCGTGAAGTGTAGTTTTATGAGAATGCAAATCACACTCCTGACCTTGAAGACAGATAGCCCTGTAAAGTACTTTTCGTTGTCCTAATTTCAATATCTCCGTGAAAAGTTAATGTCAAATTAATAATAGTTATGAAACACTTGGACGTCCAGTAAGTAACTAACCTAGCTGGTGGTTGCTACATTCGTGTTGAAGAGAATTTCACACTTTTTAAAGGTTACCATTTGAGCACAAAGCAATATTTTTAAGTTTCCAAGTTTTCAACACGTTCAGTCCTATTTTTTTTCAACTACATTTTTTTAAATGTCATAAAAGCATCTGGAGTTCAGGGTTTTACTTGCCTATCTCTCGTGACTACTGTTACTTGTGTACATTCCTATCTTCCTTTGCTTTTAGATTATCATTTTTCCCGCGTACTTGGTACTCAACAACTACCATAGTCTTCAGTCTTCAGTCTTCAGTAATAAGGATAGGAGGTCTGTCGACCTATATTAATCCTTGCAGTTTGTAATACTGTGGAGGTCCAATCTCGTTTTGAATATATTAACAGACAGTGCTGATATTACGTGTTCCGGTAGAGAATTACAGTAATTCACTATCCGGTGCGAGAAACGGAACTCCAGACGTAAACGGTTTGATCTCGGTTTTTGAACTTTCTTCGAATGTCCTCTCAAACGATCGGTTCTAGACAGAAGCAAAAGATAAGACATGTTAATACCAAGGTCATCGTTCAGTATACGATAAGCCAATATTAGATCACCCCGTACTCTATGGTAAGATAACGGAAATAAGTTAAGGTGTCTCAGTCTGTCTTCATAAGATAGGCCAACTAGACCTTGTACCATCTTAGTAGCTCGTCGTTGGACTCTTTCTAGCATATCTGCTTCATATTTGAAACAAGGACTCGCTGCTTGAATCCCGTATTCTAAATGTGGTCGCACATAAATCGGGTATAGTAATCCAAACATTTCATCATCTAAATACTGAAAAAACCTACGAATTGACCATAATACCCTATAGCCTTTTGCAGCAGCAGCCTTACAGTGACTAGTCGTTATGAGATCATTGCTTAATATAACTTCTAAGTCTTTATAGTTTCTTGCTTTGGGTAGCACGAATCCACGTAGTGTATAGTCGTACGATTCATCAGAGTTATTTAACTGCATCACTACACTCTTATTAGGATTTACCTCTAGTGATCACCTGTCTAACCATGCCACCAATGAGCTAAGATCGTCCTGTAATACTATTCTATCCGACACATTATGTATGGGCCTCCAAATCTTTATGTCATCAGCGAGGATTAGAACGGATGGTTTTGCTACAGTTGGCAATTCATTTGCATAAAGTAAAAAGAAAAGAGGACCTAGAATTGTGCCCTGGGGAACCCCACTTTTTACAGGTACCCACGAGGAGAGAGCCCCATTAATCCTTACCCTTTGTCTCCTGTCATGGAGAAAGTTACTTATCCAATCGACGACTGTGTAATGAATTCCAAAACGTTTCAGTTTGAATTTAAGACCAGAGTGGGAAACCTTATCAAAGGCTTTACTTAAATCTATGAAAACTACATCCACAGGAGCATTCCGATCCTTTGCCGCAGCCCAATCTTCTCGTGCAATGAGAAGATTTGTCAAGCATGATAGGCGTCTCCGAAAATCATGTTCTCTGGGGGGAAGATTATGCCCTTCGAAATAGTTTATAGCAGATATCCGAATGATTTTTTCCATCAGTTTTACAGCTGCACTAGTTAAGCTAACGAGCCTATAGTTACTAACTAAATCCCTACTCCCAGCCTTATACACCGGACTTATTATAGCGTCTTTCCAGTCTCTGGGCCGTCTGGACTGCCTTAGCGACATGTCAAACAGTATCGCTAATGGTTCAGCAATTACATCTGACATGGCTTTCGTAATCCTAGGATGAATATCATGAGGACCACTGGACTTATCAGGTTTGAGATGCTGAAGTAGCCTTAAAACAGTACATTTCTCAATGAATACAGGATCCACCAGCGAGCCGTCACGGTCGCGATGAATCATTGGTCGTTCCTCATTACCGATAGAAAACACTTTACTAAAATATTCCGATAAAGCTTCAGCTTTTTCGGCATCATTCTCTGCTAAGATTAACGGATTGTCTCGTATCAAAAGTGATGGAATTCCATCGCTTCTCTTAGTTCGCCTTTTTATATACGAGAATAACCGTTTCGGACTATATCTAGAATCCCTAACCAATTTTTTTTCGTATGAATGTCTAGTCTTGCTTATTAACGCTTTACAGGCATTCCTAATCTTACAATAACTGGATCTGTATTGTTCTAAGCCAGTAGAGATGAACATATTCCAGTGATTCTTCCTTTTTCTAAGGAGTTTCCTGACCGTTTTAGTTATCCATGATGGACTATTATTCGGTCTTCGCGGTACCAGGTATGGTATGAACGGGGACGTAACTAGTCTAAATTTACCTTTAAATACAGACCATGCTTCTTCAACTGATATGCTAGTATCTACTAACCAATCTGTCTTAGCAGCGCATTCCTGAATGGCTGACATGTTAGCTTTCCATACATTTGGGCGAGGTGTAACCTGATCGTATAACATGCCCCTAGTTCTAAACATGAATGACAAAACAGCGTGATCGCTGTTCACTAACGTTGGGAGAATATTTAAGTCGACAATATCCTCAGTCTCATGAGTGATTACCAAATCCAGCAGAGAAGAACCCTGGTTAACACCAAAACGTGTGGGTTGGGATACATGCTGCACTAGTGCATGCTCCATTATTGTCATCAGGAACCTACTATCAAAGGATTTAATAGATCCTTCTGCGGTCATATCAGTCCAACTAATATAAGGTGCGTTAAAGTCTCCTATTATCAAGCATCTGGTATTTTCACTCCAAAGATGAATGTGCTTTAAAACAAAGTCATCAGCCAAGCAGATTGGGCTCCGATAGATGACACCTAGCATATATGTACTACATCCTATAGCCAACTTACTGCTAATGACTTCACAAGTGCCGCCATCATGGGATTCGCTAGTACAGGAGCGGATATTTATGCTATTGGCTATATATAACAGGACGCCGCCTCTTTTTCCACATCTATGTCTAACACTCCTGATGCAATGGTATCCGGATAATTCTGGAGTAATGTCTAAGTCATGGACTAACCAAGTTTCTGTCACTGCTACTATGAGTAGCTTTAACCTGTCCACTAGTGCTTCTAGTTCATAGAACTTATTTCGTAAACTACGAGCGTTGGCATATAAAACTCCTAAGTAGAACAGCCTATCCACACAGGCCTTGGTAGCATTCGCTTCCAAGACCTGACTATCCGAAAACCCACTAGCCGGAGATTTTCTTCGCCGTTTTGACGATGAGTTTCTAGTTCAGCTAGTGCTTTCTTCCTTTTTATTCTATCTTCGAGAGACATGTCCGGTCTAACTTGGATGTCAGAATTGTCGTGACAACGAGCGCTACTTAACAAGACATCCCGTTGCTTCTCCGATCCTAGGATTACCTTAAGGAGTCTTCATGGACGGGGTTCAACATTGTCCTCGGTCCTCTTGCCTATTCTTACCAATTTTGTGACCTGAACTCCTTTGGAGTTATCTGGTAAAATACTACGAATGTATTCTCTTAGCTTTTCTAAGTCATGCGCGTGTCTAATTTTCGGATCAGGGTCGTTTGACTCCCGCAATTTGCTCACAATAATATTCGATGTTATTAGATTTTTCTTCTCAGTCGCGCCAGGATGGGTATCACTCTTACCACCAGATCTTGGTAGTGCAATTTTTGGCTCACAATTTGAGTCCACCAGTGAGTTTGTAACAGCTCAGGTTGATTGGTTAAGAGTTGACCCCAAACAACCAAGCATATGCCAAAACAGTATTGTTCAAGTATTCATTCACTTCCTTATTTTTTATAAGCGTTATATTCCCTATTATCTTATATTGAATGTTGAGAGCCTTTGTTTGTCTGAACAGACAATCCCACGCTCCACTGTGACTGCGCAAAGATCGAAATAAAGACCTATTCACTACTTCTCTGGTTTCTTCTATCAATAGCACGAGGGTTACCTTAAGGCACGAAGGTGGTGAGCCCTTTTTGAACACAAATTTAACCTCATTTCTGTTATTAACATTTTTTTTACTTAATCGTAAAAGTAGGCCTGATTATCCGTAAACTAATTTGAGTATATAACTAGTTTATTCCGTATTGTCTTAAGTTATTCGTGTTATAGTAACCATTTTTTGTGCTAACTTTATTGCTATATTTTGTCACATACCTCATGTCAGACTCAATAGAAACCCATAATCTAGGGGATTTGTCACCAGTGGAGATAGACACTGTTATGACTACGAAATCCCGACTTCCAGAATCTGATCGTAGTGATCCTGAGTTGTAGTTTGCTCAACTAGAGCATTATTTCACGAGACACAACATCAAATCTGAAGGGATTCGCTTTAGAGACTTGTGTTCTATCCTTCCTCCTTCAGTCGCCAAAGAAGTCCGTGACTTGATTTTAAGTCCACCATCACCACAACCATACACCATCTTAAGACGAGAGATAATGAACCGGTTATCATTATCAGATAGTCAAAGAATCCAAAGACTTTTTCAAGGTGAAACACTAGGTGATCGGTCGCCTTCACAGTTTTTACGTCACCTCCAAGTCTTAGTTGGTGATAACACAGTGGGTGAAGCGGTCCTAAAACAAGGATGGATACAAGCTCTCCCATGCTACGTCCAACACTGTTTGGATGCACAAGATCCTGAAACCTCATTATCTCATTTAGCGCGTATAGCCGATAGAATAATGGAAAGAGGTCCTCCAACTGGATCAGGCACAATAAATCACGTACAAAAAGTAAAATCAGCAAAAGACCCCGTCATAGAAGGACTCATTGCGAGTGTTAAGAGTCTCACTGAGGCTGTCACCAGAATGCAAATGGGTCATAGAAACAGGAGCAGGTCACCACAAAGACCACGATCCAAGTCACAAAACAGGTCACAAATGTCCAGACAATCTGGGCAGTTTTGTTGGTACCACTGGAAG